TGGTAGGATGAAAATAACCTGTACAATGCCCCAAAATTATAGCACGCTGTAACTTATGGCGTTACGGTGACAGATGTATAATAATATATTATATGAATTCTACCTTTGTAATGGCCAGTCAATGTGGGGGCGCTACCACATTCAGAATTTATGTAACAGCAAGACTGTTTCTAGAGGACGTTCTTTTCATGCACGGGTGTGTGTGTAGGTCTATTCCTGCAATTGTTACCGATATTCGCACTATCCGTCTTACTTGACACGCCATTGCGTGAACCACACTCATTTCTTATTTCATCCTTTGCTCTAATAGTCGATCATTCACACAGGAAATTGTCCGGATGACAACCTTATTCTCCTGCCATACACGACTCCTGTCAGGCTGTTGAAAGCGACGTGAAGGCTGTACCAAGGACTGTTAATTATTATTCTGACATGTGTCTTAACCGAGCACTAAAATAGAAATTCACTTCCAATGAATAAGGAGTTGTAGTCGTTCTAAATGTCATTGACATCAATAGTATCAAGCGAGTGATATGTTATTTCAAAGTGTTTCTGTCAGTCTTAGTAGCATTCTCCAGTAAATATACTAAACTGTATTTTACAAAGTGTAGACTCAATATTAATAAATCATTTATTCCTAACCACGTGCTTCATTACTGATTTTTACTATTTTCCTCAGATACGTTATCCCTGTGTTATATTATTTAAATTCGTTATCTATATTGATGTACTCATAAACATGTAAGTTTGATTAATGTAAGAATTTTCAAAAGTTTTCAAAAGTATATATAACGTTGGTTATTGTATACAATCATGTGGCACTTTATTATCTGGTATAATACTGTAGTAGGTGCTTTATAAACGAAGGTGAAATCCACTGCTTGCTTGTTAATACGCAAAGTAACACATAGGAAAAAAACCAATGTCAGGCATTTAGGATATTCGACTTGTTGTTGTATTAAACACAATAACTTCAGACAAAGACTATCCCAGCCTTCTAGGGCTTCGCATCGTTATACTAGATTGTGAATATTTGAATTATGCAGACACAGTTAATTTATTTCTGTTTATACATAACGTGCACCAGAGTCGGTCTGATGTCGCTGCCATTAAAAGACATACGTTATTGAGATTGTCAAATATATTCCCCCGGGACTCCACCATGGATACTGCTGGTGTGCGTGCGAGTAAGTTTAACGTCAAAACTAGAATTCAGAAACGCACAGAACGCACATGCCATGCATGTATTTATAATATCACTATGACGAGTGGCGGTTTATGCGTTCTGGCAACAAATATGTGGATGTGATTGAAAAGCAGCCAAACATATTGTTCCTTCTATGTTATCGCATCAGGAATACAATATTAGGAGACAAACTGACGGCATATTATGAGGGTGGGTAAGAGGAGCCACCATTTGATGCAATGAACGCTGACATATTTCAAATTGAACCTGTCAATACACTGTGTGGGTTTAATACCAAAATAGCAATACACGACTATGTACTGTTTTCAATTCGCAACCGATAACACGCAACGGTTCTCAGTTACTGCCTTTGACGCAAACCAATTAACTCTGCGATGAAAACATTTAATTAAAACAGCTGACAACAGACGGTTAGATACAAAGACAGCGTTTAAATTGTGGTATCCTTTTACGCAATAAAATTCTTTTCAAACAACATGTTCCCAATGAATTGAATGCATTTTTAAACGGTACACTCATAGATTTGAGTACTGCGCAATGGATGACTGCATGTACTCGGTGGTCGCTGACATATAGTTAAAATTGAGACGACAAAGTGAAAATATTAGATTAGTAAGTTTAGTTATTTTTCTTAGTGGGGAATCGGAACTGAATTGAGAGTCCCATCACTAACTCCTTGGTTGTATGTGCTACACAGCGTAACGTTTGGGTCTAAAATGCCCTATTATTAACGTGCCGTCCGCTAACGCACTGTTACGTTAAAATAACTCATCGATAACGGCAAGGAACACGAGGAAATATGAATAAATGCAGGGAAAGGATTCCGTAATTGCTATACCTGCCGTCCATGAGAACGTTTTTTTTGAAAAGACACAAATCGGCATTCGCGCCTGTCATTTTTAATGACACGGAAACAAAGTAACCCGACACATGTTCTAGTCAATTAGAGAAAGGTCAGATTTGAGGGGACGCATTTCACGGAACAGCAGCGGTGTTTCGCACGATATTTGTCCCTATTTGATGAGAGTGATGGGGGTCATACTTAGATGTATTGTGAACCACCTAAACGTATTATTCAGATTTAAATAAAGCACAGACGGAAATACGTAAGCTCTCCTCGTGCTAGTCTATTGTAATTTTTAAGGCCGATGACACATACACAAAAGAATGTTTAAGAAATATCAAATTCCCGTCCAGATTGGTGTATGCAGCAATGGTTTCAAACAGCGTTGAAACTTAATAGGTATGACTGATATATATATATATATATATAATATTTGCCCTTCAATTCAATTCACAATACTATATTGTGGATTTATTTAGGAACTGTCGCATACTTTCCCCTCGTGGGGATCGCAACATATCTTGTTGCTTTTTTATACCACCATATCGCGTCGTCATATAATACATATTCAGTTTGAAATCGATTAGTAATTACTGTTTAGGTGATTTTAAAATATCACTGTTCATTTAGCCCGGGATTTACTTGTACAGTCGAAGGAATGTCAAAATATAGATACAGCGTATCAGGGACATTCGATAGTTTGTACTCTTTCATTTGATTGATTGATTGACTGATTTATTGATTTATTTGATTGATTAGTCAAACGGATGGTATGGGATGTGAGTGTGGGTGTGTGAGTCGAGTGAGTTTTTAAGCGACTAAATAGACTTTCCTCTGAAAAAAATGCTCGCCCACAGCATATTTCACGTTTCTCTATTGCATTATGCAAATGAGCCCTCACACACCCACAGAACTGACACGGACAGCTATTTCTCCCTTCACGTAAACCCTGGCCGTGGTGTTTTAGAAGTTTACGAATAGGAATTCGAGTGCGTGTACACTAACAATAGAATAGCTACTACAGCTGTGTATATATCCAAATGAACATGCCACGATAACGATTCGCATTTGAACTAATGCATCGTTATTTTTAGAATATGACATTGATTGTGGTCACGCTGCGATCTAGATAACAACTATTTATTAACGTGCTGATTAGTAATGAACACATTAATGAGACCTCTCGTCTGGAACTCATCTAGTAATCAATTTCACCGTCATGCAAATAGACTCGCCATTACAAAAATAATATTAATCAGCTTGTCAACAACGCTTATTGATTGATAGACTATGCATGTAACTAGATATTAAGGCTCTCCTTGCGATAAAAATACGAGAAAATGTCACCTGCCGTTTTTATTTAGAACGCGGTTCTTTGAAGTTAAACTGACGAAGCTCCCACCCATTAAGCCGAATGACGTTGTTCCGCGGACCTGGTGGTATGGTGACCGACAACATACATTACTACACGTCCCGAAATGCTACTACATGGCCCTTTCGCCTAGTAAGACGACTTAGTGCGGATATCAGAGATAATAATACTGTTGTAGCCACGAGTTGATATGACTGAGTGCACAAATTGACAATGTATGGATTGATACAGTAATATCAATCGATAAGACATAAAAAAATCGATATCCACGAAGATTCGTCACATCTGTATAAAAAGCCGTGTCATTCGTTATAGTGTTGAGCACTGAGGTTATTATTAGGTGGCACATTTGCCACGCTAGCGCGATATCACGTGTACTAAAATTGCAGTCAGCGATGCCGCCCCGCTGATTTCACTTTTAGACTAACATGCATTCTACAAATAGACGTTCGATTCATTCCCATGTCATTTTCTTCATCAGTGGAACTATATAGCACATAGTAGGTAATAGTGGTCCGACCATTGTTGAAATAAGCGGCATACCAGTTAAGTTATAACTATAATTGTCACAGTCCAGTGAGTTCGGTTGGCCTGCCGTCTACGTCGGTGTATAGTTCTAAAATTGATCACAATTATTCAGGCATTTCGATGTAGCTAAAGTATGCTTTTTCACAAATATTCAACACTAGATCACGTGTTATACACTATTTAAATAGGTTATAGACTGACGTATATAGATATGTGAAACAGTTGTATGCCAAAAGGTAGGATACGATCACGCACAGTATTACAATAATTATAAAATACTTGTTATGAATTAGGAATTAGGAATCTGTGACAAAGAACTATAGTTGAGTTTAATAGTAACATTGAAATTGGGTATATAAGGATGGGGAACACACATTTCGAGATCTGTTACTTTTGATTTTATAACACATCTCGATCCAGACTTTGGCGTGTTATTTACTAACTATTAACGTTGGCTATAAGCAGAGGTCTTCTTCATCTAACGCACTGTGTAGTTAGACCGCCCATAAATGCAATGCATGTAACATGTCACAAAGTTAATAGGCCATGATGTTTCTGAATCATTCACAGTACACATGGTTTCTTGAATGTATATCCGTTGTTCGCTAAGTGGGACTTTTATTGTAGGAGTTGATTATAGTATCCGCGTTCATTATTTGCGAATATTAGTGTTCCAATGATTGCGTGGGTTCGTACGGCGTAAACTAAAAAGAGTTTGGGCTGAATTCAAATGATGCGCTACTGGTTATGTTACTGCGCATATATGCAATGCATTATGGGAGAGAACTTCTTATTGCATAAATTGGGAAACAATTAGCGCACTGCAACTTATTATGATTCATATCAATATATGAATTTTTCATCCTATATATAACCGTGCAAACTTTCGACATATGAAGATACAATTCCACCATAGAAACCAATGCAAAATTCGGTCATTCAGTGCCATGACATTTCGGGCTCTTGTTTCTCAAAACACTTTCTAGTGACTAATTGTTGCCTTTCTTTCTAACAGATATATAATTTGTCTTTCTTTTCTTGTCTTGCAGATTCCGCAGATCAGTTATGCATCGACCAGCTCTGAACTTAGTGACAAGTCACGCTATAATTACTTCTCCAGAGTGGTGCCACCGGACTCCTACCAAGCCCAGGCCATGATCGATTTGGTGCAAGCGTTCGGCTGGGAGTATGTCTCCACGGTAGCGTCGGAGGGCAATTACGGGGAAGGTGGGGTGGAAGCTTTTACCCAACTCGCTAAAAATACAGGTAATTGTAATGATGACAACTTTAACTTACAAGATTTAGAATCATTTGCCTCATTGTGAGATAATGTAAAGAAGACATTTATTGTCAAACATTGTAAGAGGATAGTTAACTAACTTCGAATATATGATAAACTTATATTGTTATGAAATTTAAATACAAAATTTACATGAATGTATTTCACTTTATGAATCACCTTACTTAAAAACCGAAATGTTTAAATTTTGCAATGGGTCGCCGCGCCGTACAGAGATTGAAAATCAGCCCTAAACCACTAATCTTTTTAGAAGCTTGAATAAGTTTGTATATATCGTTAATATAAAGTCTACATGACGAAATTGGTCAGCATTTATGAAGCCAACAAGTGGCTTATCACAGAGGAAAAGTGCTGAAACCAAATAATTTATGTTCCGTATATGTGACTGTAAAAATACAAAAGTGTAATCTCACACGTGATAGCGCTCACTAATTATCGCCAGATACAATGATATCAAATTTTATTGACAGTCAGCCGAGCCGGTGATGAAATTGCCGTTCCCCTGCTACTACTGCTTCTTTTTGGAATTGTAATTCGTTCCGAATCGACTGCGCGGCTGACTCGCTGCGGGTTATTCGTCGGTTTCATTTTGAATCGTATATTTGATATTGCGGCGGTATGTTGGGAATCAACGTGTCACCACCACCTATACCCTGCACAATAATCACTACACTAATCCTCCAAGGTTTCATATTACGTAGACATCTCTCGCAATTACTCGCATGTGAATTGATTTCATTGCAGCATTCAGTATAGAGTACTTGGCGATTCACTGCGTGACAAATAGATGGTAAATTGAATACCAGATTTGCAATCACCACGTGTAAACAATGAGAAAATGCCTAGAAATCCAACTCCTATGAGTGGAGTCAATAACCTGTGTAAATTTGTGTGTGTGTGTATGTGTGCGTGTTCTTCACTTTTGTACTTATCCCTACTTGATGCAAATCAAGCCGAATACTTGCTGGGAATAAAGACGAAAAGTGCCCATTCTACGTCATCACGTGTATAAATCATAGTAACTACGAGTCGTGGGTAATAAAGCAGTTTGAATATAGTTTTAAGATTATTCTAGCTTTCCCCAATGCAACATATAATACCATCCTACTGAAATAGACTGTTGATTGTCTATTTTTTCAGATGCGAACCATCAACAATGTGTGTCCGAGTCATTATATGTTCGTGGCCAGAACCCAGATCATCACACAAACGTCTATAAATGGGTAATCACGATATATAATATGTGATTGCGCTATAAATATCATCATTATATGATCCGCGCAGCTTTCGAGCAAAAACGTTACCATACTATTAGGCATGGTGTCACACATACTTGCCGACAGCAATGACGCTTTGGTTACCTCTTGAAAACATTGCAATAAAAACTACATTGTAAGAGGATAAGTGCCCAGTAGCCGAAGTGGTCAACAGAAACTAATATTCGACGTGTTTGTAACTGTCTGGTGAGCAAATATACCGTCAATTCAATGCAAAATTCAGACTTTTTAACATGATACTAATGTCCCAACCAGCAAACGTATCTCAATGCCCAGCGAAAAAACGATAATGTGCGCTTGTGCGTATCGAAATGTTGATCGTTTGATTATTCCCAGATGAGGAAAGCCAGTGCTTATTATGTCGTGGCGATAGTAAAAAAAGCAATTGCAGTCGGTGACCCTCAGGGTGTAATGGGAATTCATGTTACATAATCAATTTTGTAGTCGAGACTCAAACACATGGAACAGTTCAACCCAAATTATCTTGTATGGATGAATGAAATGAAATAAAATAAAATGTTTTGTGTATGGTTTATTAAAACTTTTTAAACACAAACTATGGATATTTCGAAAAAATCAATTTATGTATTCAGCGTACGACTACTAAACAAGATTAACAATTATAGCGGTACACGCTTTGCCCCAGGCAAATAAATTCTCTCGTGAAATAACCGAATCGAGGAGAGAATAGGGTTATAGTGGAATACATTCACCAATGCTACGTAATTAGGATGAGAGTGTGTTGTTTTGAAAACTAAATAGAAGACAATTAAAACACAAATTTGGTGGGGTTAGATTAAACATGCGATTTACAGAGAACTCGCTTTATTGAGTTTCGTGAAGGAAGCAGTGCGATGTATCCCCAAACGAAGCGAGCTGTCAGAGGCCTTTCCAGCATAATACGTATTGACAGGGTGCAGACAGTCAATAACACCTTACTTAATCTAACCAACGCCATACTGTTAAACCGTAGACTATCAACCTAGTTCGTATTAGCGTTATATTTAGCACAAGTGATAGCACATCCTCTATTAACGACAACGTAGTGTATGTGATTAAGGAATGTAGTCCAATAATGTCCCCCTATGTCTATGAATAGTTGGAGGTGGTCTTTTGATTTACTAATTTTGTCATAACCTACGAAACTTCATTTTTTGTCATTCGAAGAGCCACTGATAAATTAGATTCAAGTATCAGTGTATTCAAATAAGATATTAAGTAGGAGCATTGCTCCAATCGCAGAGCCTTATAACACACTACTCAATCTAGACGACAGCCTGGACTCCACTAAATGCAAAGTTTATTTTTTAACATTACCCAGGAATATTCCTGATCAAATAATTTGTCTTTTCCATGAGATATTAATATACTAATTGTACATTATTAAATAAAGAAATGTCACGCCTAATATGTTACAATAGGACACTGTGAATTATTTGTAGCCATGTTTGTTTTGGATAAGTACTACTCTGAGCTCTCACTAATTTGGATATATCGTTTTATTTCTTAGGAACACATACGTGACCCTAACAGACATACTTTAAATTGTTAATTTCAAAATAATAATAATAACAGTCCAAACAAATACTTTTATACTGGAGACATTCATTCAATATATGCATTTATCAAATGTTTTATTTCTTCGAGCAGAAATAAAAAAAATCATAATATAAATATCATGATAATATGTAATTTATTACCTCAGTATAGAACACCTCAAATTTGTTTTCAGGCAAAGAACCTGTCCTGGTAATACATATAAAGAATATTCATAAGCTGAAGTATTGAATTGTAAAATGAACCAAATATATTACATTGAATGTCACTTTAATTAATGCTTTCATGATTTCTCACTATATCAAATATTTTGAATGTTTATGCAGAAAAGTTTGATATACTTGTTGGCTGAGTAAATACCAATGCAAGCATGAATATTCATTAGTCCCAATTTATTGAATTCATCATATAATACGTTTTTAAACCAGACATCATGAATAATGATGTCACATGGATATGCAATTGATTACGATTTACGGTGAACGCGACATGTGGAACAGGATTTGCACACTCTTTTTGAAACACTTGACATCACTTTATGTATACCCTGTACATCTCTAACTGATTTGACTATGTTGTGTAGTGCACTTGTCACGTATTTGATTTGTTCTTGTAGATTTTTTGTTTCGATTGTTATTAGTCATTTATTGAGTCTTTGACTTGTACAGTTTCCCATAGAACATTAACGATCTATGGTTGGGTATGTTATTTCCACTGGTTCGACAAGTTGGCGCATGGCTACTTGCAGATATATTTCAATTTGCAATCGTATACCCTACTGTGACAATAAGTTGTATAATTATAATGTTTATTCGCCACAAATTAATTAATTATAATAAATTACTTAGAATAAAATAAAAAGTGGTGGATAGTTTAAATGAATACATTTTAGTATTGATAATACAAATTATTATTTAATAATGTATAGCAGAAGTTAGAAAAGGAAACAGAAGTTAGCTCAATTTTACCTAGACAAGTATGTTCCCTAAGTGACTGAAATGTATCATAAGTATAAGGAGGGCAGAAAATGATAAACATTATTACAAAGATTATTAGAATAAACAATATCAGTAATTGTGCAAGATAAATGAATCAATTAAATAAAAATAAATATAATTTAATAAACATTTCATAGAACATGAAGTAAAAAAAAATATTTGGAAGAAACAAAGAAAATTGAATAAAAATGTAATAATTATTACAACTAAATCTAACATTTCTAAATCATGTGACACATGAGTAAATGTTTAATTTTAATGTTCTTTTTGAAATGCTTTCGGCTAATTTAATATCAGTGTTCCAACATTTTGTTATATTAATGGAATTCTGGGAAGTGCTGTCTAATTAATAATACAAAGCCGCAGTTACTGTATAGCTATGTTCATGCAGTTAGATGCCTAATTTTACATTATCTGTATTATTATTAATTTTTATTATTATTATTATATATATATAATATTATTACTATTACAATTAGTATAATTACAATGCACAATGTATATAAACAAACAAACTAGGGGGAAATATATAAAAAGACTGTTATGCATCAAATGAAAGCAGACTTTCAGTACAAACAAATGTAATTTTGTCACGTCATGTGCAAAAACGTGAAAAATAATAGTCAATAACAAACAAGCAGGAAATGGTTCTCAAAATCGAGCATAATACATTTGTGTGACTTCTGTCAACAAATAAAAGAGGCCAGCATTAAACCGAATTTGCGATTTAAAATTACCTTGCAATTCTACATATTCAGAATACAGAATTCAATATAATTCAATTCAATTAAATAAAAATCGCAACTCTATATAAGGTTGTATTTTAAGTGAGTTTAATTCGTCTCTCTCGTTTAATTGGGGATATATCAGGGTAGTAGAAATAACACTATACAGATTGTAACTTGATTCATTGTGGTTTGCGGTGCATGGGAAAATGTTTTAGGTATAGTACATAGCTTACTCTTTTCTAATGGTGCTTTTATCAGGTCTGTCCCGATAACATGCAACAAATGTCGCTAAGCTGCCTGAAAAGGTCAACTCGTCGATATAAAACATGTCTACGTATATCCGAAATGGGATTAAACTCGAGTTACCTAATACGTATTATATAGCTTTACCTACTTTCCCGTATGA